TTGTTTGCTTCATTGTTTTTGTGGGTTCTGATGTTTGATACTTTTACCGATTTGTTCTGGTTGAAAAGTTGAACGTGTTGTTGGAACATAATTTGAAATTTAAAATCTGTTATTGTATTTGTCTCCTACTGAGGATGGTATACTGTCTTCAATAAAATTTACCCAATTTGCAGCGATGTATTAGCTCTGTATATTACTAGATGCATCTGATATTAGGTTTTACTCATATTAAATGGGTTATGTGAAGTTCAAATAGTTCCCTTTCCTGATTAGTTTTGTTGATACTATTGCCACATAGGTAATATGATATAATTTGCCTTCTATAATAGATACATTCAAGCATTATGGTTGATGTCTACAGAGTATAATTATTGGAAAAACCTAAAAGTTATACCTTGCTGTAGTTATATTTTGGATCCTGCCACTGGATACAATGGTGTTGAATTTTGTTAGATAGCATTATACAGGGAAACTGCCATTCTTTTTTCATTTTCCGTTCAACACGATTTTGACTTTTTACAGATTGTGTTCAAAATTTCATGTTTGTTAATTTTGTTGCAAATTTATTTGCAGGTGATGAACTTCTCTCAGACTCTTTTCCTTACAAGGAAATTGAGAATGGCGCCCTTTGGGAAGTTGAAGGGAAGGTACTAAATCATTAATGCACACCTTATTATATGTTAGTGATTTTACTAATCTATTCTCCTATTTACTGGTTAATGAAAATTGAATTGTGATTTTCCCTTTTTATCATAGTGGGTTGTTAAGGGAGCTGTTGATGTAGACATTGGCGCAAACCCTTCTGCCGAAGGTGGGGAGGAGGATGAAGGCGTCGATGACCAAGCCGTTAAAGTTGTTGACATTGTCGACACGTTTAGGCTCCAGGTTCGATTATCTACTTATGTGGGCTTCAATATTGTAATTATCATTATCCTTTGTTTCTGATCTTTTTCTTTTAACAGGAGCAACCACCTTTTGACAAGAAGACGTTTGTCGCATACATCAAGAAGTACATCAAGTTGTTGTCTACCAAGCTAGAAGGTGAGAAGCAGGAGGAGTTCAAGAAGACCATTGAGGCAGCCACCAAGTTTTTGCTTTCTAAGATCAAAGACCTTCAGTTGTAAGAATAAACCCTAAGAATCTTTTTTTTTTTTTGTTTTTTTTTCAGCCCCCTGCATCATTAGCTTTTATGAATAACCAGAACTTAAAAAGAAAAAAGAAAAATGTTGAAAAAGGAAACAAACTCTAACTAGGTTCAATCTGGGCGGGAGATAACACTAATTTTTAGCAGTAACTGGATTTTATTTTAATTGGGCCTCAACTTCAGTCTCAAGTTTTCGTAAAACCATTACGTGCATTCTAGTCCAAATCTGTCACATTTTTTTGATGAATTTGTTTTTCCCCTTGTGTAGCTTTGTGGGAGAGAGCATGGCGGACGATAGCACCCTGGTGTTTGCCTACTACAAGGAAGGTGCGGTTGATCCGACTTTCTTGTACTTTGCCCATGGTTTGAAGGAAATCAAGTGTTAAATGTGATGCTATTAGCGTTGTTTTTGAGACTTTTTTTGCTGATGATTTTCATTTTCGGTTGTCAATTTTAATTTATCACAAAGTGACAGCAAAGTTTTGCCCAGATTTAATAACTGGTTTGAGTTAGCCTCATATTCCTGTGTGTTTTTTAATCACTATTCACTATTGTTGTTAAGATAATGAATCAGCACTTTGTTGAAGAATGTGCTTTTGATATTTTGATGGTGGGATCTTTATATTTGACTTTATGCTCGTGATGCCCACTGTTCTCTATTCAATGATTCTATCTCAATATATTTATGGCAAAAAGATTTTGTTCTCCATATATCTTTATATGGGATAAAGGTTGATTTGTTGAAGGTGATATACATTATTGAATTTATATTCCATCAACTTATATCATCTTTTATGTCTCTTTTATTGGGTTCATTATTCTTGATTCTATTGTGATATTTTGATATTGGGTGCTTGAAATTCGAAACCTAGTTTGACATTGGATGCTTCGTTCAATAAGATTTTTTTGATCATTTTAGTTGAAAGTATGGAGATAATAATAGAGTGATATTTTGACATTTGCGGTGATTGGATATAATTTATTTTGGTTTTGATGATTAGTGGATAACCAGAGTTAATTTTTGAAAATAACTAGATTAGATTTGAGTCGGATTTTGACTTTGTAATCAAATAATATTTAAAATATAATGATTAAAGTTTATTTGATGTAAAAGTATGAGAGACAATTAGAATTAAATGATAGTTAAAGTTATGTAGTTGATGGATAATGAATTAAGTTAATGTGATATATGGTGATGATTGATTGATATTGTTAATTATATTGATAATATTAAAGAGAATTTGGTTGAGGTTTTTGTAAATATAGATTGTACATTATTGGAGAATCTGACAGATCGATCTGAGCAAATAGCTCAGTTAGCCTAGGCGAAGTGAGCTCTCGCATATACAAAAGTAGGAAACTCGGTCATGTAGCTCGTATACGAGCTTAAGGTATCGGACAACCTGAAGAAATACGACTATGAGGACAAGTTAGACCTCAAGGAGGAGGTCGGGTTAGACCTCAAGATAAGGTTAGGTTCGACCTCAGATAGGCCACATCAGACAGGTCAGGCAGTCGGAATTAGGACTCATGGGATAAAATAACAAAGGGAAAAAGAATTCTAGTGAAACGGAAAGCATCGCTAGGATTTGGGCTAGCTTTTCTCATAATAAAACGGCTCGAGGACTCTTGCTTATAAGAGATATAGTATGTTAGGAAGTAGGATCTGGTTGGATCTTTTCCCTAACAAAGATTCTCTTGGGCACCAAGATATCTACCCTATAGAAGGGTGACAAGTTATACATCTATCATCGCATTCTACGACTTTTACTTACATAACTTGTATATAAGTTTGAGGGAGTTTTGACTTGAGCGTCGGAGGTTTTTCCGCCAGGACCCTCTCCCGGCGTATTGCAGGTCATCAAAGCTCAAGGACGAGGACCGATCAAGGCGTAAGCTTTAAATCCCGTTCGTGACACAAAGTGACGTAACAATTATTGCATACCAAATTGAGGCGAATTATTTTCGCTCACATTTTATTTTTTAATGACAAAAGTAAATATTGTCATAAAAATTTAATTGAGACAAAAATAAAATTCGTCATTTTTACCAAATAAATTATGAAAAAAAGAATTATTCGTAAAAAGAAAAATCGTCACAAAATATAGAACTTCGTGTAGTATCTCCCACCTACGTTTTCATAAGGGACCCAAGTTCATTTTTACCACAGTCTCTAAATTTCTTCAAATTACATGATATCTTTGGTGATTTAGGGACTGACTTGAGCATCCGAGTATTCGTCGGTGATATCTTTGGTTGACCCGTTACAAGGTTTTCAATGCATTTATTAATATTTAAATAAATGAATAGTACACATTATAAATAAATGTGTATAACTGTATATTAATTGATTTTAGTTTAAAAATAATATTAAAAAATATGAATGGTAAAAAAATTTTATGAATACTGTGGTGGATAATCGAATAAGATTGAAAGTATACCCAAATTTTGGGGACCGTGTTCCTGTCTCTTTCGGTGGTTGCTTTTGAGTTTTTTATTCGAGCTGTGGATGTTCGTTGCGGTCTTCAAACTGGTGAGGAAGGTTTTATTCTAGTTAATAGGTTTTTTTATATAATGTATTTTATTATCTTCTTTAGGAGCATGAATTTATCCACTAGTATAGTTCTGTAGGTGCTTGTGTTAGTTGTGTTGATTCTAGATTACCTTTGGGTAGACCTCCCACTAGATTCAATTGTATGACTGTTGATTAAGCTACATTGATTATAATTTGGAGGTATATATGTATTTTTATTTGTAAACCCTATCGTTCTCTAAGAAAAATTGGTTTTGTACCAATTTAACAGTTTCATTTTTTGTAAGTAGAAACTTATAAAATTCTTAAAACCATATTAAGGTGGATGAGAAATTAATTCTAAGTTGTATATGTGGGAAATGTAAGATGGAAACAATTGAGTTTAAGTAACTCAGATTATTAGATTCGCAAAGCATTATATCTCTGACAAATGTTAGGATAATTTAAATGGGACCTGATTATGCAGCTTGCGTGCTATAATTCTAGAAGGTTAGTTGGAGACGAGTAAGAAAAAATGAAACTCGATTTCGAGTCTGGATGAGCTCGTACGAGCCTGCTGCGCAGCTGGCCGCGGCCAGCGAAAGGTCGCGACCCTTGGTTCCCATAAGGTGTCTTTTGGCCTCTAGATGTGTCCGTTCTCGTTCGGGTACGTGACGTCCCAAAAGGTGTCTTTGACACTTAAACCTTATAGAGTTGTTTTCCTTACATCTATAAAATACCCACATACTTGAAATCATTCACAAGTTGAAAAGTTAAGAGCTCTTGAATTACATTTTCAAAGTTTATAAACCATATTGTGTTCTTTAATATTTTTTTTTTCGTCGAGTCTTGAGAGTTCCAAACAATAGTATTGTTCGCCGAAATCTTGTATATTTGAAATACCGCTATATACAAGTCGAAAGTCATTGTATCTTAGAGACATTTGTCTTTAACCGTGGATATTTTACGGAGCAATTTCGTCTAAGGAGAACGTAATTATTACGTGCCTCGACTTTGATTTTGTTTCATTTTCTTCATTCTCCTTAAACCCATATTCTTAATATTCACAAACCACACACAAACTACACGTTCTTAAAAAAAAAATCCATCATCTTGCTCTGTAAAAAATCTAGACGTTTGAGTTATTATTAATAAAAAATAAAATGAAAAGAAAAAAAAAATAGCAATAAATAAATGCATTTTTGCATAATGTCTACTGTCTTGACAACATTTTAGCCTATTAGCCGACCGAACATGAATCACCACGAACCCATGTCTCGGTGATTTTTATTCCGATCCTCAGAAAATAGAAATTTACAATGCAACCCCTCTTGAATTTAATATTATTAAATTTGGGTCCCTATTTTGATTATGAAAGTGATGGCCAACACAAAGTCTCATGGCTATGCTTGGATATAAATAAAAATACAAAAATTAATCACTTTTTTAACTTAAATCTAACTCAAATCAACTATCCCCACTATTATTAATATAATTAAATAACATCAATCAATCATCCTCACACATTACATTAACTTTAATTCATTTTCATAAACTCATATAATTTTAACTACCGTGATGCGGAGATTCGCCTTGAACAGAGTTGGACTGAAAACACCACGAACGAACTTCTTCTTTGATCTCCCACTACTTGTAATGCGCCAGAGAGGGGTCCGAGCAAAAAACCTTCGACGTTCGAGTCAGTCTTTTCTCACGAGAATAAATAGGAAAAGTGTATATGCATGCGTAAAAATATATGTTGTATCTTAAAATAAGAACCTTTTCACGCTTATATAATAATGTGTCCTCATTTCTGAGAGAGTCATAGCTAGAAAAGATATCCTACCGTGTCTACTTTCTTAGCTTACCATGTCTCTAGAATCTGAGACTGCTTAGCAAGATAGACTTTTTATCTTGAAAGGATTCTATCACCTCTTACGACTCTTAGGTCCCTTAGGTCGTATGAACGACCTCATCGCCTACTTGCCATAAGCTGCAACTAGGTCCTAACCCCGACCTTCACCCTCACACGACATCGAGGTCGTGAGGTCCTCATGTTTCTGAGATCTTGAGGTTATCCAACCTCCGTGCTCTCTGACTAGACCAACATGTACCGTGAGCCACCTAAGAGAGCTTCTTGACAAGGTCGCACAATGAGCACGAACTTGGCTCTCTTGAACTGGTCATATATGAGCTAACCACTCAGACTGGTTCATTGAGCAACTTTGTGTGCCAAAATGACCAAGAAAGAGAAGATGGAAGAGTTGCACCAGTTCTACCCTCGAGCAGTCTACTCGTTGTGCGCTCACCAAGGACATATGTGCCAGGCCTTCTTCCTCCTCTCCATCTTCCCAGATAGGGAGAACAACCGTTGCAAGGGCAACAAAGAAGCCCGAGCCAACTATGCAGTCTATCACCTCGTCCAGGTATATCACTATCTCATTTTTGTCCTACTACTGACATACTTGTCTTCTTTCATAGCACAAAGCGATTTTCTTCTTCACCTTGAAGATGTTGTCCAGCCTCAGCCCCATCCTTCACGAAGCTATGGAGGGGAACTCCGATGAGATCACTTGCTTGAAGAAGAAGGTCAAGAGTAGTGAAGCATCGTTTGCCAGTCTCTGGACGTGGTATGACATCTGCCAGAGCGAGGTCAAACAACTGATCGCCTAACTCAGGGCCAAGGATGACGAATTCAAAGAAAAGGATGCTAATCTCGCCGACCTAAGACCCATTTAGGCAAACCAAAGGTCGTGGTGGATGAGCTAGCAAGCTCGGGAAGAGGGTCGTTTTTACTTCCTCTCTTCGGTCCTCGAAGCTCGCTTCCTTGAGCAATACCGGCTCGAGCTGTTGAAGTTCTTCAAGCACTCAAAT